TGCCCCATCCCTGGAACCATTCCAGGGGAGGTTGGCCGGGGCTCTGAGCAACCTGCTGGAGCTGCAGATGTCCCTGTCCCTGCAGGGGGAGTTGGACTAGATGAGATTTAAAGGTCCCTTCCCACCCAAACCGTTCCATGATTCTGTCTCTCTCTCTGCCCGGGGCTGGGGGTGGTGGGTCCCTGCCCATGCCACACGGGTGCTCACGGGGCAGAACAGGCCCGTCCTCAAAGCAAACCTTGACTGTCTGGTTGCCCAGCAGCCCCAGCCCCACCCAGTGCCCCGTGGGCTCAATGTGGGGCAGGTTTCCTTCGGGCAGCAGCTTCCACAGGCGCCAGCAGCCACATCCTTGGTGTGGTGCTGCCGTCCCCCTGCCAGCCCTGAGCCGCTGCTCCGCACCCGCCTCGCCAGGGAAAGGGCAAGAGGAGACCAAAGAGGTGACACTGGGATTATTTTAATGCAATTGCTTTTAAAATGCAGCCTTAAAATGACTTCTAATGGTCACCGATGAGAGACAATGGATCTTTTTGATCTCTGCAACACGACTGTGTGGTACCTCTGCCTCCACAACCTGCCAGCCACCGTGTTCCTCGATGTCGTTCCCTGACTGCTTCCACAGCCCCTGCCCCACGGGGCAGCCAAACCTCCCACCAAAGGGACTCGAGTGGGCAAGAAAAGGGAGAGGGCGAGGCATCCATGTGACTCAACACTCCTCCAGAGAAGCCCTGAATGCAGCACAGGCAGCAGGTTCCTCCCTCTTGCCTTACACTCAAGCACAGAGCTACAAAGGTACTGGAGCCACCAGCTCGTGGCAGAGCTGCCAGCTTTCAGCTCCTCAAGACCTCTGGGGATCTGTGCCTTCATGCTATGTAAAGCAACCAGAGAGCTGCTGTCTGGCTCTGTTTTGTGGCTGAAGGGGCAGCAGAGGAAGCAGATTTTTCCACTATCTTGCTTTCTGAGCTATAACACTACCTTGTATGTTTATTTTCCAGAGCAGCAAGTGCTCCAGGCTGCCAACACTTGCCAATTCAAGTAATGGGGGAAGGAAATTTGGCTGTAGCCTAAACACCCATGAGGATACACCCTGGCACCACCTCTGCCCCGTGCAGTGTTCACACACTGTGCCAGGAGAACACCCGACCTGCTGGAAGGCGTTTAGCACCTCCCAGCTGTGAGCCCGTGTGATGGTTTGTTCTGGATGTTCCGTGTGGCCGCCGGGCTGGACCCTCTGTACAAACACCAACAGCCCTTCAGCCACCTCCCTCGTCTCTGTTTAGACCCTTCACTGCTGCTCTGTGGCAATTTAATGGTCGCCCCCTCCCAGGAAGGGGGTCGGGAGACTGCTGGGGGGAGCAAGCGCAGAAAGGCCGAGGCCACAGGGGCCTCTGGAATCTGCTGGTGCTGCCTGATGCCACCACCCCCCGAGAAAAGGAGCCTCCTGATCCAGTGCCACGTCTTCCCCCAGAGCATCCCTTTTATCAAGCTTGTGTTCTACCAGTAAATCCAGAATCAAATGCAGGAAGCCAGTCTGGGCTACAGAAATACTCGGTGCTCATCTCCGAATGAATTCCAACCCCCTCTCTTTAAGGACAGCATTAACAGGGAATCAGGAGGCTCCCCCTTAGCTTGGTCTCTGATTCTGGCAATAAAACCTGGATACAAACTGGGCCAGGCTGGAGCTCCCCCAGCATCTGAGCAGTAGTTCTTGCACAACCAAACGTCACAATTAGAAACTGAGTTAGAAAGAGTCCCCGGGGGAGTACGAAAAAGACATCACCTTATGAAAAAGCTTCAGAATGAGCCTGTGGAATCAACAGCAACTGGACAGTTGTCTTCTGCAGAAGATGGAAGGAGGAGTAGAAGAATAAAACAATATCCTAAACAGTCAGTGAGTCTGTCTGAATGTACAGGGGCACTAGACCCCTGCGGGTCTGTGACGAAAGCTAATGGCCCAGACCAGCTGGTCCCCTCCAGTCCTGAAGGGAGGCTGGGCTGTGGCTCACTCCTCCCCAGCTGGGAGATTGTCTTCAATCCTCCTGATGAACTTCATCCGTATCTCGGTGACGCTGTCGCCCTTCAGCGTGTCCTGGACAAACTTCACATCTACAGCCATCTGAACCTGGAGAAAGGAGAGCTGTGACCTCCTGTGCCTAGGACAGGACTTCAGAAACATTCAAGGAAATACCAAGTGCTTGTAGTTGGGTCATAAGGTGAAGGGGCTTGGGCGGCACCTCTGGACTCACAGCTGCTGTACACAACAGCAGCCAAGTTCCTGTAGCTCTGCTCTTCTCCTGACAATGAATTTCAAGCCCAAAGCAAATATGGAAGAGACACACTAGACATTAGAGTATCTGCTGATACCCTGATTATTCATGTATCTGTCTCAGGAGAAGAGAGATGCCAGCTCACCATTTCCAGGGCACCTCGCAGCACTCCACACAACAAGTTGGAATAGATGAGAGTCGAGTGGTTGTCAGGGAGCTCCACGAAGTCCACCAAGGGGTTATTTTCCAAGATGAGGGAGAACTCGTCCCCTCCAGGACTCCAGTTGGTGATGCTCGGAGTGATGCCCAGGTACATTTTAAATGCTATCTAAACAGAGTATGAACAAGAACATGCCTCATGAAGCAATGTCACAGCTTTGGTCTTTGTGACATTACTAAAGGGGTTTGAGAACACCGCACCTTTCTCCCAAGCAGTCAGGGATTAATTCTCTCTTTTTCCTCCCCAAAATCTCAGTCAAACTCTCAGAACAGTCCTGTGAGTAGCAAACACTCCATCCTCACAGGCAGAACAGGGCAGAGCTCTGCTCTGACCATTACCTTTGCAATAACATCTGCAGTTTCACGGAAGTCGTGGCACCTTCCAACGTTGGACCGGGCCAGGAAGTCTTCAATGAGCCGGACGCCGATGTTGTAACCCCTGCAGAGGCACCAAAAACACAGAGCTGCAGAGCAGGAAGGGCACCAACGTTCAGAAAACGAGACAGTGGAGGGGAAAAAAAAATTAAATCTGTGAAATATCATCATTCAGTTTGTTCTGACAGGGTAAAGCAGCACCGGGAGCCGTGCCCAGCGTGGCCTCGAGCTCCGGCCGCAGCTTTCTGTCCCACTCACATTTTGTCAAGCTGCTTGTTGACGTCCTCGTCGTTCTCATAGTCCTTGCAGAGCTGGGTGACCAGCGCGCCGTACGTCAGCGTGAAGAGCTCCGAGTTCTAGGCAGAGCAAAAGGGCTCTGGCAGCAGCCAGCGGGACCGGCCGAACCTGCTGCTCCCAGCAGCTCGCCGGGAGAGAGCCCAGCCTGTGTCCTGGCAAGGCCACTGCAGCCTCCTTGGAAAGAGAAACCCTCTTCCCCTAGGAACACCCAGGCACCTCCTTTCCCCCTCCCTGCAGAGCACTCCAGCCGAGTCCTGGCCCTGACCCCAGGAGCAGAGGCAGGAGGCTGCTCGCTCCTCACCCTTCTCAGCTGCCAATTAGCATCTCTGCTCTAACGAGCACATCCCCAGGGAACAGGAATGACACCTCTACTGCTGACGGCTCCTGGATGGCCAAACCTGAACGTGGGGTTGCCAGGGACCTGGATTTATTTCAGCCACTGACCTGGAGGCACAAACTGGCTCAAGCTGCTGCCTGCTATCCGTGTGTCACAAACAAGCTGCCAACGCTCGTTGGGCTCCGTTTCTGCTCCTTTCAGTTTTTTTTTATGATCCTCCCTTCACAGGTTTATTACCTTCTGCTCCCAAGGGAAAACAAGCCTCATCTGGTCCCTAGACAGTCTTCTAGGCGTATTTGCTTTGTGCACTAAGATCAGCTCCTCAGCCCAGCAGGCTGGGCCCACGCTCAGCCCCCCCTGAGCCTGCCCCCAGCCAGAGGCACTCGGGATTCTTGGCACAGTTGCCACGTTTACAGAAAACACCCCAGGAAGGGGTCTCCTCTCCCAGCCACCACCAGCACCATCCTCAAGTGTGATTTCTTGGGGGCCAATAAGCCAGCCCCTCGATTAACACAGTCGTTAAAGGCTGCAAAACAAAAAGCTACAACAGGCTTCAGCTCTCCACAGAACCTGACCGAAGCGTTCCCAGGATCAAATAAACCCGGGTAACTTATTTCTGCTTTCAGTTTTAGCACTCAGAAACATTAGAGAGTCTAATCTCGGATTAAAAGCCTATCACCTACCATGAGATGCATAGATGCAGAAGGTGAAATGAATGGCAAATACCAAGACTACAGAATGAAAGCAGCAGCGGGCAGAAAGGAAGGGAAAAGAGACAACATCAGAGTTAAGTGACAACACTGATCACACCTCGTTCCCAACACACCAAGCCAGGCCAGACACAAGGAGGAACCACTGCCAGACATTCAGCAAATACAAGACAAAGGGAATTCCACCTTGTCCCTGTAATTCACCAACAGATCCACAGCAATTGGCTACCAAAAGCCAGGAGAGCACCAGGCGGGCTCCTTGGTGCTTTTGCTCAATTTTAGATCTAAAGAACTGACACATTTTTTGGATTTTTCACTTGCAGTTCTGCTTTCTCCCTGCACAGATAAAGGTTGTGGGAGTTCACCTCACGACAAGGCGGAAATCTCCTTCAGCTCCCCTGGCAGAGGCAGAGGTTTGGCAGAGAGCTTCACAAACATGCACAAAAGGTTACGCCACTTTTCAGGATTTCAGTAATTTTAGTAAAGTCAGGGCTTGGCAGCTGGAGAGAGTAGGGGGTGAGTGGATGGAGGAAATCCAGCTGTTACCAGTCCAAGATGTTGTCATTTACTTTGTCAGGCCACGAGGCCGTCCCTGTTGCCAGCCCCCACGTGCAGAGCCAGCACTGGCCGTTGCTGCCTGCAGCACAGCTACCTGGGGCAGCTGCAGTGCCTGAACCTGGCAAACATCCCCATCCATAGTTGTAAACAAACTCTTCCTTTGCAGCCATCTAATGGAATTGGTGCTTGACGCTTTTCCCACCATTTTAACTTTTTCAGATGAGAGCAGCGCACAGTCTCAACACTATGTAACTGTTCTGTGGCTACAAAAATGTCAGAATCCCAATGAAGTAACACCAATTCCTTAAATAAAAATAATTGTACATAAGGAGTTGAATCCCCAGAAGAGAATCCCTCATGGTGTGGGCAGGGGGGAGCTGCCTGGTCTCCACTGAGCCCAAACCAGCCACCACAGGGCCACAGAGGAGAGGGAAAAAAAAAGGGTTTGTTTTTTATTACTTGCTTTGCATCAAAATTAACTAATTCGATCTGTTTTGGACCAGATTGAGAGCTCGGCTCTGCAGTTTTGCTCTCCATCGCTCGGTGCTCCGCTCGGCTGGGTCGGTAACGCGGAACAGGGTCAGAGGGAGGAGCGGGAGAAGCGTCCGCGGTGTGCCCGGGGAGTTCCAGCAGCACAAGCCCCGCT